GAGCTGCTAAAGGTCATTCAAAAGCAGTCTACCTTGACATGCTGCAATAAATGCCCTCCCTGAACATAGTTTATAATAGTAATTTTTATAGTTAAAGGACTGAAAACACACAACTCCCCTAAGCTTGGGGGCTTTTTTAGTCTGTTTTCCTGCCATAGACTGGCAGGAAGAATAAGTAGGATGCTCTTATTTCCTAGAAGTAATTTTATAATCAGTTGGCCTTCTTAGATGTTAGAAAATGTTCATTATTCACACACCTTGACTGAGGCTACTTCAGCAGTTTTGCAGTACAATGGCTAATAGGGATATTGTCCATAGTCAAGCAGAATAGTCAGTATCATAGATATGTCCTTTTGTACCTGCTGTGTTTCTACCTAATGGCTTTGGAAGTGCCCCCTAATGAGCTCAGAGTGCCAAGGTGGTGTGACCCCAGTGTACTTGTCAGCTGTCCTCAGGAAGAGGCTGATTTGCATTCAGACCAGTCAGGCTACAGGGAGAAAGCTGCTTATCTGTCTGTCAGCAGTTCACATTATATGTAGGACAGATCTACTGTGGAGTTCAACCTACTGTCTCCTACATGTTCAATAAAAACTTGCTTAAAGGTACTACTTTATATGCAATTCTCTGAAAAATGGTGCAAATTGATTTATGAGACAAACATATATATGCCAAGATTTAGCCTAGATCAAATGTGATATTAAGGTCTTGCTTTGTTTTGTATTTTGGGTGTACTTCAGAATATTCACAATGTGTATGTATTTTGGTCATATTGATTGCAACCACTAATTAGGAAATATAAATCACAAATGGGAAAAAATTTCTTGAGAGTTGTCTAATGGTCCATGGAAAGTCACAGCTACATTTTGTCTGATCAGGACTTCAAAGGCACCAGAATGTATGTTCCTATTCATACTGGAAAACATAGTTGAAGAAAACAAAACCAGAGCATAAAAAGTAAAAGTCTGTTTCAGAGGAAACCAGGTTCATATGCACATCAAAGCTCAGTTGGCAGACATCACTCTAATCCTATATTTGCTTCTGCATACGTCTTTGTTACTCAGTAGATTCAGTACCATTCACCCTGACACTGGCATTATAATTTCATCCTATATTTAGTTCTTATCAGTTGATTACTGGGTGTTTCTGATAACAGCATACTCCCATCTGCTCTGGGGACATAATTGGGTGTATCAGAGTTCAAGTTAAGTTTCCTTTCCTTGACCCAGCTGTGGTGCTGAGCATGCACTGGGATACAAAACTCTTTTATTATGAATGGTTTGATTCTCAGTAGGACTGAGCTCTGGGAATTCATCAGTAACATGTTAGCAGACAACTCATATTGTTCTGCATTTTCTAGTTGAATGACAGTAATACTCAATTCCTCCAATACTTCCTTGTATGAGTATCAAAATCTTTCCTCCCATTACCTCATAATTTCATGTGAACTCTTGTCTCTCCCAATTTCCTTTTTAATAATATCAAGACAACCCTGAAATGAGCTCATAAAGTATTTGTATGTTCCTACTTTGATTATATGAAAAACTAGACTTTTCACCAATAAGCACGAGCTGGCATTAGAATCTGACAAATAGTAAACCTCTAACATTTCCCTAAAAAATTTTCTCAAAAAATAGCTATACTTTGTTTCATCAGTCAGAGTTCTAAGTGCATTATGCATTATCTGAGATCAAGGCATGTGGTTACATGCAGACATTAGTGGCAGCATATAGTATGTCCTTTTCTCCTCTTCCTAATATTATTACATTTTTCCCTATCCAGGCAACTATAGAACAAAGAGAACAGTCATTTTATTTTCTCTAGCACAGACTTGTGTATCTGAGGAATCTGGTGGGGGGATGTAGCTGAATCTACACTTCCTTCCACCCCTTCCCACCACTGAATGTGAGAACTGATCCCAGGACAGTTCATTTATCATTTAACCCTTGTGAGTAGGAGAGGAATATCTATTGCTAACTTGAGGCAAGAGAATTTTCTCCTTGCACCTAAGGTATAATCAGAAAAAATTATGGAAAACTTGTGTGTGTCTAGGTTTAGATATCACTTGCAAGAACCAAAGTAGTTTTTGATTTTTCAGTTTCCTTGTTGTTTGAGGAGCAAGGAGAGAGAAAGGGCATCTTACAAAAGAATATTTCTGACCAGGTTAGACAGAAAAGGTTCCCACTAAAATGCAATTTTCAACATATAAGCTAGGCCAGGAAAATATGTTCACTTTGTTGTATGAAGATTTGTATAAGTTTTGCACTTTTTGCGTATTGTGATTTTCATAGATTAGTTTAATCTTCACAGAAATTCCTGAACTGAATCAGGAGCTAAACTTCAGATTTTGAAAAAATTTCTAACTTGCCCTAAAAAAAAAAAAAATAAAATAAAAAAAATAGATTTTCCCTTGCTTAGACTTCTAAAGAATAAAATGACATTCTTTATAATTTCCAGATGACAATGTTTGTTTTTCAGATCGAACGTATATGTACATACACATAATTTGTTTTGTTTTAGTTCTGTGTATTTTCATCAAAACTGTGGTTATCTCTAGTAAATATGACACCCAGATCCCTTGACTTTTCCTCCTTAAAGGGAGCAACTGTGTAACTTCCAATACAGGTGTCTAAAGCCACACTTATATATATAAGAAATTGGTACCTATGACATCTTTAGTCTGCTTCCCAGAATGAATATTTTGTGCATACAAGGGATGCAGAGAATACCAACCACTTCTCTTTCTGGCCACTGCGAAGATGTTGTGGAAAATTGGTTTCTAATTGGATTCTCTTATTTGTTCTGCTCTTATATTTTGGTTTCAGAATAACAGCCCATGATTGAGGGCAAGCAGAAATAGTAACAAGGGAGTAAAGCTAATGGAGTAAGAAGGGCAGGTGGTAGGAGCTGAAATGTAAAGTGGTGAGGGACAGACAATCATGCACATACAGTTAGGCATACAAACATCTATCCACAATCTCAGGATCTTGCTACATAAAAAAAGTAAAGATTCAGACATGAATTTTCCCCATTTACCTCTCTACCCACATCCCCAAACTAAGACTTTACTATTTTATTCAATTTGAATAGGAATACAAGTGAAAAAAATCCTGACTTCTCAGGGTTGATTATCTCTGTGCTTCGGGTATTGAGATGATCTGTCTCACATCTCAAGCAAGTAGTAAAGCCGTCAAAATATAAGTGACTCCAAATATTTGACTGTTAATGTAAAATGGAGCTGCTTCAGCAGAAGAGAAACAATTAAGAACAAGGGATTTGCCTTAGTATCACACCTTCTATCATTCTTTACTAACCACTGACCTTTTGTGGACAGCTGTTTTGTTGATATGTGAATGTGACTCCTTGGACCATTTTGGTATTCATAAAAGAGCATTTTTGAAGAAATAAGGTTTTACATAAAACCTCTTTATCAGCCTTAGTGAGGAGCATCTACTGAAGAACAAGCTAATGGAACAGAAAGCTAGAGGGATGATCAGAAAAGCACTGAGTACTTAGCACCAAGTAATCAAAACTTGTCAGTGCAAAACCTTTGGTCACTAGAGCTAAAGAAGAATGGGCATCAAGCATTGATTGCAAGCTTTGGCTATAAAAAGCTAACATTTTCAGACATATGGAACGTTTGAAGTGTGTTAAGAGTAGAGGGAAGAGAAAAAAAACTGGTGGTAATTTTGCTGTTCAATGAACCTTTGCTTCTGCTTCTTGTTCATTGGATAAATAGATTCCTTTCTCCACACTCTGCCAGAGAGCCAGGTGCTTGTGTCTCCTGGGGGCAAGATGAGAAGTGTAAATGCCAACTCATGTAGCAGAGACAAGGTGACTATAGGTTCACTAGCAAGAGCTGTTTAAGATGGTTTCTTGTTTCATGTGATGATGACATTTACTTTAAGGTATGCTGGCTTGAGGGCGCTTTTTTGCTAATTTCATTTTCAAGCTGTTGACCACATTCATAATTCTACGGCTGTGAAATTGCAAGCAGTGCAAGGAAAAGATTGCTCAGGTTTTAAAATAATTATTCTTAGTTGAATTGTTAATATCTTGCTTTCTCTAAATGTTTTCCAGACTCTACTTGTTTTCAGTTTTATAAAATCTTTTTAAAAATCACAGAATTTTTGAGCTACTTAAATATTTCCATAAATTAGACCAAGAAAAATAAATCTGATCTACTTAATATCCTTGCATATTGCCTTCATGTATCTAGACTATACAAAATAACATTATTTAAAATTTTAACTGTTCTGTAATACTTATATGAACCTCACAGGTATGTGTGATAATTGCAGCAAATCAGAAAAAGAGCAAAGAAAAAAATCCAAACCAATTTAATTCTTTTAAATTGGTGTCTTAATTGGTTCTGAACTGCAAGTAAGAGTCAAAGTGGAGAAAATCACCTAAATTTACCCTCCCCCTTAGTCAGCGGTGAGCTTCATAGGACCCTCCCCAAGCCATATAAGGCCAGGAAGAATGTGCTAAGCACTGAGTGTGCTAAGAATAAAGTTGTACTGGGATGGATAAGGTTACTTTGAACTCTATATTTCATGTTTCCTGACATACCCCCCAAAGAACTGCAATTATGTTAGCAAGGCTGTAGGAGCACTGAACTGTTCTTTCCCAGGTCTTTTGATTTTTGTTGCCTTTCCATGCATTCCTGTCCTGTTCAGAGCTGTGGTTTTTTACATTTTATTTGTGGTCTGCATGGTTCTGAGGATATTAGAAAAACGTGCTGAAGGTTCACTCTGAGGCATGGCTATTTTTGTTAGAAGCTGATACTTTAGACTGAGCTTTAAGTGTTGCCTCTGGAAGGCCTTGGGTTGTTCTGGGAGGCCAAGATTCTGCAGAGGAAACAGACATTTCAGGGAGCATAAAAGAAGAAAGAACACAATTAGAAAAAGCAGAGGACCTGCCTCCTTCTCATTCTGCAGCTCCTGCGAGAGTCAGCAACCCACAAGTATTATCTAAGCTGCCACAGTAAATCTTGACCTTTTAAACAGGGTATCTCTTACCATCATCATGGCCGAGATAACAGCAGAAGGTACAGTACCTGTTTTCAAATATAATTAACCAAAAATGATATGTGCTTTAATAGTATAATTGAATGGCATGTCAAAATTATATGTTGTTCTTAGAAAATAATATTTTTAATCCAGCATAATTTAATTTTGCTTTCTGAATTTCTTTTTATTTTTCTTTCCTGTTTTGTTGGGGTCTTTTTGTTTGTTTTTTTTTGTTGTTGTTGTTTTTTTAATTTTCATTTCTGTAGCCTGAATTTTTACCAGTTACTGAAGCAAGTTTTCTGTACATCTCTAAAAATAATCTTAGTTTCAATTGCAGAACACCTTTATTTAGGCAGCTCCATTAGAGATACAAACAGGGAATGTCTGAAGCTCAGGGTGTTCTATTCTCAAGCCTTTGCTCAGAAAAAGTTTTGGTAGCTCCTTATAATTAGAGACTCACCAGAGTCAGAATAACTTGTGGTTTTTGGCCCTGATTTTTTCATAGGGAGCACAGAGTATTTGTGAACTGTACATGAAGTTACTGAAGGGTAAGAGGTAAAAATCCCTCTGCTATCCTTATTTAGGTAGACTTCTAAAGGAGTCAGTGAAAATTGTGCTGAAATAAATATGCCAGTTGTTGGCCTGCAAAAATGAAAGGCAATTGTATTAATTAATAAATAAATATTCTAAAATGTGAAAGTTTCATGTACTTTAATATTTCCTGATCATTCATATTTAAATAACATTTTCGATTTTAGATTATAACAATATTTTATCAGCTGAAGTCAGAGGGGGGACATATTTAAAATGCAACCCTCTTTAATAATGAATATTTTAGTTGAATTTCACTCCAACTTTTTTCCCACTGTTTTTCTGAATTTAATAATGACAAAAATGTAATAATGACAAAAATACAAGCCCCCTCCCTTTTTTAACAGTCTTCTGAGGGTTATTTTTTGTTTTTTTCTCAAGGTTATATGGTGTTTCAGTGAGTGAAAGATGTAGTCCATTTTTTTATTGTTCATACTTGTACGAGGATCTGCATTAAGTGCTGTTAGAAAGTGATCCCCTTCCTTCTTAAGGGCTGATGTTAGGACTGTGTCAAGCAGCACGATCCTTGCTTGATGTCTGGTTAGCCACAGCAGGGAGGCAGTGTGATTTTTTTAATCAGCAGTTGGACTGATCTATAATTTACTTCTGGCTGCAAGTACTGCCAAAACAGGTGGCTCAGCCTGATAGCCCTAACCCAAATACTAACACTGGTTTATTCAGATATACTTAACTAGGTTTGTTGGAAACACTGGTTATTTTCTGCTATTATAAGGCAAATCTGTGAAATAACCAAATTAGCGAGATTTTTGATCCAAAATTAATGGCAAAAAATATAAGACTTTCGAACCAGTCTGACTTTTCAGTCATTTAGCTTATTAAAGAAAGAAAATTAAAGACTCTAGAATGAAACAAAAGACTATAGAATGAAAGAAAATAGAGTCATAAAATATTTTTATTTTGTTTTTTATATTTTTTTACAGGAGTGTTTTTACAGCTGTAAAAGTGTGTGTCTTCTGTGGGGCTTTTTGTACAAAGCATAGACTTAGATGATATGGGGCATCAGCTCCCCAGTAAGCTGACCTTCCACATGACAGGGAAATAAAGTATATAATTAGTTTAGTTTAGTTACGTTTGGCTTAGTTTTATTTCGTTTCCATGCACTTGGAATGCAATTGTAGTGACTGACTGATTTTTAAACACTGTATCCACAAGATGGAAATTTTATTTATGGCAAAAAAGTAAGAATTCAGCCTGGAGCTAATGTTTCACTGCAGTTTGTTTTCCTCTGGGGCTAGTATGGCATTCACAGTCTGAAAGTTTAGCTATAAACTTCAGCAACATATAGATTGGATAAACAAAAAACAATTCAACTACTTCATACAATTTGTTTTGTTTTCCGTAATGCCTCGCAGCCCATGATTTGCTGAGTTCTTCATGATTTTGCCAGGCCTAAACCCCTTGCTCCTTGCAATAGGCATTTATAACTCTTTTTTTTTTTTTCCCCCACTGTCAGACACAGAGCCAGACTCTCGGGCTCCTTGCCTTTTGGGGTGCCGTGCTGACACATCAGAGAGCAGGGCACAGCAGAGATGCAGGCACTGCCATGGCCAGTGTGGCTGCTGGTTTAGAGAGATGGTCCTGGCCTGGCAGGGTGTGCTGGAGCACATCTCAGGGCTCTCCTGACAGTCTGTGTCAGGACAACGATCTATTCAGAGATGAACAGGGGCAATGGAGAGCTCTTCCAGGTCAACATCATGATAATGACAATGAGATTCAGTTACTTAAATATGTAGCCAATAAGCAATTACCCTGCACTGCCTACTTGCACCAAAACCTACATGTGCTACTTATTCTTTTACACAGCTACAAATTGTCAGTTGTGGAAATACTGGTGATATGTACACTGAGAAATACAAAATGAGATCCCTGAAGACAGCAATTCATAAATGTCCTTAGAAAGTTGGCAGGGCCTATGTCTCTAGCTGTCAAGTATTTAGGAAAAGATTCCAAAGGATTATCTTCAGCATCCTCATATTACATGTCATTGTGATCGTAGAAATGTGCTATTAAAAAGGGGCAATCCTTAAAATTGTATAAAAAAAAGTACAAAGACTCAGTATAGAGACTAATTACTCTGTCTTTGCTATACTCTCAGCATCTAATATTAATATTAGCATTAGCCATATTATTACAATGAATACTAATTATTTCTCTTGTTATTATTGCATTTAAGCAGTGTTCTTGCAGCAGCCAAGATCTTTACTGTAGTACACTTAAGACTTTAAAAAGCCATGGGTCTCTGACTATCCTACTCCACTGTATCTATGAACACAGGGATTGGACTGGACTCAGTAGCAGATGTAGTTGGAGCTGCCACCACTGAAACATGAACAGAAAAAGGCTGACACCTCTGAGAAATGGCTTCTGCCAATGTACAGCTTAATCTGTATGTGCACAGCAGCTCCAGCACCAGCCCTATAGCTGGTGCTTTCTAGCCCAATCTCCTGCAGGTCACAGTCCAAGGTTGATGGCCATCCCCTGACACTTCATCCTCCCACGCAGGGAAGAATGAACAGAGACTCTGCTCTGCTGGCTGCGATGCTCTGGAGACTGTGCACTGATCTAATCCAGGGAGGTGAGGAGAGGAGAAAGACAAGGTTTCTCTGCCAGCTGTTTGTCTGCCACAACTTATTTCCCCAGTGGAGCAAGAGAGAAGCAGGAGTCAAATAGAAATGTGACAATGAGTCACAGTTTGGTCCTTATTTTGCTGCTGAGAGCTATGCAGCTACATATTTCCCCTGTCTGGGAGCAGACTGCAAGGAGACAGGCTAGCCCCAAGGCTACACACAGCTTGTCAGTGACAAAATCAAAATTAGCTTCTGCATTTCAGCCCTTTTCTCAGGCTATTGGATAACTATGAAAAGTTTTAAGATTTAAACCATTTCAGAAGGGAAAAAGATGTGTATGCTTGAAGATTAACAGATATGAAACTACTAATGTATGAGAAACAACACATAAGAGTCAGAGAGTAAAATCCCAATTATTTCACGAGTGTGATGGTCAGAAGCTAGCAGTGGTATTCAATTGGCAAAATGTTTAATGAAGCTACACTAGAGGCAAGAGGCAGATAGCTACTTCTTATGGTAATACATGAGTGGCTGCTAGAGGTGCCAGTTGTGCTGAGGAGCCTAGATGAATAAATTGGATTAGATGATTCACTTCGATGGCTAAAGGCATAAGAGGTGTTTTGTACCCTACAGTTAGACTGCTGTTTATGCTTGGAGCTAGGATGTTTCTATGGAATCTATTTGCATCCAGCAAATTTTCAAAATTAAAAGATAACTTTTTTCTGCCTTTCAATGTTGATGAGGAAGAAGATAGTATTCCTATTACAGCAGGGTAAGGAAAATACAACAATTTTAGCTATGATTTTTTGAAGGAATCTGTCTGTTCTTGTTCAGAACCTCCAGCTAAAATCAACAGCCTAATTACACAAAGTGAAAAAAGTCAGAAACCTCAGGTCTGCTTGTAAAAAAGTCTTTGTGGTGAGCAGAAGCTCCAAATTCTTACTAAAATTCCTTTAAAAATGATATTCTCCATGACTGTGGGCCTGTACAACTGTGCTGGTTCGCTTGGCTTCAGCCTTGGTGTTTTCTCATAGCCTGTTGAGGCCAAATTGGTTAGCTTGAGCTTTAGGTTTAAGAATTTGTGGACAAAGCTACTCAGAGCCGTTACCGTATTTGCGTGCCCTCAGTTGGTACAAGGCAGCACTGACACCTAATTCATTGCCTTAGGCAGCCCCTCAGAGAGTCAGGAGCTTGGCTCTGGACAGCGGGAAGAATGAAAACCTACAAACCAGAGGGCCAAGCTAATGCATCATCTTCGTACACGTCAGGCTAAAAGCGTGTGTGTGTGTGTGTGTACACTTAGCTCCCGTTTACTTGTGGGCAAAAAAATGGACTGTAGGTCTGAATATTTTTTCACTTTTTTTTTTCAAAAGAACCTTGTGATCTTAAGTGTTTGGAGCATATTTTAATGTTACTTACATAATGGGAAATGTTTTTAAAGTCCCACTAGTGTTTTCAAGTTATTGGAAAAATCAGATTTACTGACTTAAAACTGAAATCTGTGCAACGACTTACATTCGCAGAAGTTCCAATCTACAGTTCCAGAGACCTAAACCTCGAAACAAAAAAAATCTAGTCCAGAAATATTTCGAATACTTTTACCCATTGCCTAAAATATAAATACTGAGTAAGAGGTAGATTCACTCTGTTCTTACTGCTGAGTTCTGGAAAGCAGAAACTGTTTTACTTTAAAACATTTCATAATACGGGTCTGGCTTCTGTTCAGGTGTACTGAGAAGAGAGAAACATACCAGAGTTACCCTATTTGAAGCAGGTCATCCATTTACAGAAATGAAAAAGTTTTTCCTTTCTGATGCTGACAGTCACTGGTTTCTTCTCTGTTTAAAAAGATTGAACTA